GGCAGGACGCATCTCTGGGGCCCAGAGCATGCACCTGGGTCTGCAACGCACTGGGCAGGGGGGACCCAGTCTCCAGGCCCTGTTCCAGCAGGGGAGACTGAGAACCCCCCGCCCCAGAGCTCAGTGGCCAGGGCACTTACCTGGGGGGCGGATCTGAAACAGGCTGTGACGGCGAGTCGGGGTCCCCCCAATCCTGCAGCCCCGTAGCAGCAAGAACAGGCTCCACCAGCCAGTAGAACGGGGGGGTTTATTGCTTCTCCAGGTGCAGCCCAGCACAGACGTGACGTGGCTACAGGAGTCTGGGCCAGGATGCCTCAACCCCCTTGAGATGGGTCCCTGGGCCCCTAGACTCCCAGCCCCCCTCCTTAGTCTGTCTCCTTCATGGTTCCAGCTCGAAAACTGACCCTTCCCCCAACACTCACTTCCTTTGTTCCCTCCCTTCCCTTAACCAGTGGGACAGTTCGGTCACTGCCATGAGGACCCTCAAGGCTGGGCCGTGCTCACAGACAGAAGCCAGGAGGGGTCATCCACAGCCCACAGCCCAAGCACAGCAGCCAGCAAGGTACTGACACCACATCCCGCAGGCGTCTCCCGTGGAGCAGTAAGGACTCAGCCCCTGGGCGGAAGGCACCAAGGGGGCCGCGCCCGTGGTGTTCTGTGCAGGGCCGTTCCTGGGGTGACCTCTGACAACGCCTCCCAGCTGAGGCAAGGCTGCTGTGAACCCCCACAGTCGTCATGCCCAGGATTTAGGCCCCTGCTCCGGGCAGAAGCGCTCCAGGCTCAGGCAGCTGAGCATGGACTTTGGCACCTAAGTCCCTTTGCAGAGCGGAACTTGTTAGGCCCAGAGCCTCAGAGGGACTGGGAAGCTAATTCCTATGGAGTCCAGTGAAAGGAGGAGCCCATGGGGTGTGGAGGGTCCAGACCTCGCTCTCTGTGCCTCAGTTCCCCACTGCACAATGGGAATAATCGCACCACCCTGCCTCCCACAGGTGGGGGAGGCCAAATACCGCAGAATCTGGGGAGCAGGTAAGCCCGGAGAAAGTCGTCCCACAGCCTTGCCTGAGTGGTGCATTACAGCCTGGAAGGAGCAAGGCAAGGGGAATCAGGCCGGCCGGTTCCACAGCCAGCAGTGGCCCCACTGAGTTCACTGTCCTCTTGTTCCCCATCGTCCATCCTGACGCCTGAATCCCAAAGGCTCAACACCGCTGCTGAATTCTCAGTGTCGGGGGGACTTTCCCCACAGGCTGGCTGAGCCTCCACTAGTGAACAGTGACCTTAGAAACAGTCCAGTTTATCCCCGCAGGGCTAAGTTCACCCACATGGATGCAAGCCCCCTTGGCACTTCACTGAAGCAAAGCAGCCCTGGGAAATGTGTTACCCAAAGTAGGCACCAGCGCAGCCCAACCAGGTGGGTTCCCAGCAGGTGAGGTGCTGGCCTACGCCACAGACAGAAGTTACTTGGAGACTGTGAGTATAGTAACTGCAGCACTGCGGCGCCTCCCCTCCCCCCAGCATCCTGATGGAGTTTGTAATGGTAGCAGATGTCACATTCCCTCCGTCAAGCCGGGATCGGCACTACATTTTGACAACCTTCAGGGTTGCAAGAAACCTAAAAATAGAGCATTAAAAATAATCTGGAGCTGTGCACATTTACATATCCTTTCTTCCTCCATTAAACACTCCGGCAGGGGCTTTCAAGACGATCGCATGAGCATTGTTATCCTGGAAATTCGAGCAGTGAGTAAGAAATCTCAGCTGAGTGATTATAATCACTGCAGAGACCTTGGGAACTAACTCCCCATTATTGGTGCCAATTTATTAAGTGTTCATTAAAAAGTGTCTTGAGCCCAACTGATGAGACAATCCTCCACTCCAGGGGCGGGGAGAGGCTGGCAGGGGCTTTTGTTCTTCAATCACAACTTTCCATTTTGTGGTACAACATTTCTAAACTGTGGCTTCAAGACACAGCGACAGCCTGTGTGCGGAATTGTCAGCTTCTTGCGCGACAGGAGAGTTCCCTCGAAAACAGCCCAAGCGTAGTGCTCAAGAGGGACTCACATAGAAGTCGTGACAAGGGGGAACGGAGACATCAGCCTGGCGTGCCAGGTAAACTTCTAACAGGACCTGGATTGAGTCTGAGCCCGTCCACTGACAAAGGGCACCAGCGAGACGCACTAGCAGCTCCACCCAGCCCGCAGTAGCCTACTGAGCAGAACCGAAAGAACATGGACTTGCACCCTTCTCAGGTGCAAAATGCCACCATTCCCCGGGTGACGTCAGAGCTGCTTTGCATGCCTGCCCAGTGACAGCACACGGTCTGGAAAGGCAGACCCGGGCATGTGTATGGCATTACCAGTCCTGCTCCAGCTCATATTTCATAGAGCCCTTCCTTCTTGATTCCCTTCTCTGCTTTCCCGGGCAGAAATCTAATACAAGGCACTTTCATGGCACCGTTTCAGCCAGGCCATCGAACCACTTTATGAACATGGTTTAATCGTCTCGAGTCACCCTCACCACAGAGGGAAGCTGTGGCAGACGGGGTGCGACCCACAAACCCCTAGAGTTAGGCACCTAAACGCACTTTTAGCTTCACTGCAACCCACAACCCTCCCCTGCGCCGTGCGGGTGCCTAAGCTTGCTCAGCACCTAGCGTTGCAGAGTCAGAGCTGCTGCCTCACTCACGCCGCCGAAGCCCCAGAGCAATTCACAAAGCCTGGCATCCAGCTGCCTAAGCCAGGGCGGGACCCAATCCAGGCCCAGTCTGGCTGATGCCGGAGCAGCCTCCCGCCGGTTCAGGCACTCCCCGGGCTGCCGAGGGAGAGAAGGGAGCCCCGTTTGGATCCCGCCTCAGGACAGTGCTCTAGTCACTGAGCTCGGGGGCAGTCAGATGTGGGGGTCCCTCCTGTTGAAGCTGCTACGCGCTGTACACATAACGAGAGAGAACGGAACAGGGCCTGGCCCCCCAAGTCACTGGATTAGTCACCCCCACTCCGACTCCCTGGCTCAATGACTGTTCTGCTGTGGCCACATTTAGTGATTGGGCCAGAGACAGACCAGTCCATTGCCCAGTCCGGTCTGGGGAGGCAAAGACCCCAGGGCCAATCCCTAGACCTGAGGCTGGAGAGGAGGTGGAGCAGAGCAGAAGGGATGGGCTGCAGCACATGTCTCTGGGTTCACTCCCACAGCCCCGTGGGGAGACCCTAGCGCACAGCCAGTGCGACTTGCTTCCCACAATGGCATGTTTGCTCTGAGAAGGAACATTTGCAGAAAGACAGTTCTCTGGCGAACCAGATCACAGCAAGCTCGCCAGGGCCCAGTGTTTGCCCATGACAGATCGAACCAGCGGCTCTGCAAACAGACTCCTGAGGAAATGAAATGGCACAGTGCTGGGGGTAGTTTGAAAATGTGATGTTTAGTCAACAAAAATAAACTTACAGTCAGTACTGACCAACGTCACCTGCATCTAGTCTGCAAGCCAGGGTGGGGCAGGCGCAGGTCGGACTGCACTAGCTTTCTTCCTTGGGGTTCGCTGCATCCCGAGCGAGTTCCTTCATTCTCCTCACTGTCTCTCTCACCCTGTATCCCCTGTAAGCAGCCTGGATTTTTGTGGCAGCTTTCTCCTCTATTTCATGGGTGCTTGTTTGGTAGAGTCCACGTGTGTCAAGCTCCTTCGCGAGGGGAATAAAACCACAGAGGGAACGGCTGACAGGCTGCTCATTGTCTTGCAGCACACACCAATGCCTAAGTCGCAGTAAATGTGCCTAATGGGCAGCCCCTGAAAACTGCTGCTTCCCAAAGGCCTTTGGAAGCGGTGTGTGAACCAAAGGCTGAGAGGGAAACAAAACGTGGTTTGTCGTCTTTACTTGTTTGTTGTTGTCGCCACAGATCTAATAATCGGGGGGGGGGGGGGGTTGTTTTTGTGCCAAATCCTGGGGCCCTTACTCAGGCAGAACTTCCTCTGATTCACTGGAAGGCTTGTCTGAGTGAAAACATTGTGATCTGGCCCTTATCTAAATGCCAACTGCTCCTCCCAGAGCACCAGGAACACAGCTCCCTTTTGTGGGAGACGCAGGATGCCATTAAACGAGCAGCATCTGCCAAGATTTACTACTTGGGGGGGTGACAGCACAGTTATTTCCCACTGAGCATGGGGCAAATGACAGCCTCTCACATTCCCAGGAGTGACAACTGTTGGCAAATGCTGATTGTTAAAAACGCGGAGCACTGTGAACACGCTATTGAGCATGAGAGAGACTGAGGCACAGGGCAGAGGGAGAGCAAAAGAGAGTTCAATGTCCCGCGGGAGACAAATCAGGCTCCCCAACCTCCAGCGGGATGCCCCAGCTGGGACAGGGAGTCAGTTACAACACCAAGTTGCAGATAGAGCAGCCTATTGATTCATTAGCTGGGGGAGCGATTCATTAGCTCGGTGATCTAGACATTAGCATTCAGAATGGGGAAGGAGGGACGCAGATCCACACTACAAAGGCAGATGGAACACTGCTCCCCCCCCGCAACTCTACTGAAAAGACTCCCCAGAGCTGAAGGTGTGACTCCACACTTCCTTGCAGTCTGAGTGTGACTCTGGGAAATCACATGCAAGGGGAGGATCCTAAACCAGCTGGGGCAAAATGTGTCTCCTAAAAGGATTTGGGCCTGGGGACTGATGGAGCACTTCCAACTCCGGCTTAGCTATCTGGACGTGGACGCCAGGAGCAGTGCCGTCAGAACCAACGTCCGGGCAGACCTCGGGAGAGTACTTACTGACTCTATGGCCGGATCTCTCACTGACTCCCTAACCTCTTCTTTCACAGTTGCAGCCTCCTGGAAGAAGATCAAAAAAAAGGAAGGTTTAACCAACCGTGACTTGAGACCAGGGGAGAGCGCCAGTGGGTCTCCTTAGAGCAGAGATGGGCCTGTCGGGGTTCTACGTGTGGCCCATGAGACATTTTGTTGCCCACGTGCAGGGTGGCCAGATTCCACTGCTTTCCAGCCGCGTCGGTTTTTTCCTACCCATATTATTAAAGGGTATGTCTACACTACCCCTCTAGTTCGAACTAGGGGGGTAATGTAGTCATACAGAGTTGCAAATGAAGCCCGGGATTTGAATTTCCCAAGCTTCATTTGCATGAAGCCGGCCGGCGCCATTTTTAAATGCCGGCTAGTTCGGACTCCGTGCCGCGCGGCTACACGCGGCACGGACTAGCTAGTTCGGATTAGGCTTCCTATCCGAACTAGCTGTACACCTAGTACTGTCCCACGATACATTTTGTTTTCTATAAACTTAAAAAACAACAAAAGGTCTGGCAGCACTTTATTGACTAACAAAACATGTAGCTGGTATCATGAGCTTTCATGGGCACAGCCCACTTCTTCAGAAGACCATTGTTTTCTGTTTCCCATGTGCAGGGTTGCCAGATTCTGCTGGTTTCCATGCAAGTAGGTTTTTTCCTACTGGTATTACTAAAGTGACATGCACATAAAGCCAGGGCACGGGAAGTGAGGTGTGGGCTGATTGCACACAACATGGACCATGAGAGCCGCGCACTCCCTCTGCACCCGTCACAGGCTCATGCCGCACACTCTAGGTACACCAGCGCAGGGAGCACAGCAACCCCGTCCTGGGAGACAGTGTTAGTTATGACATGGTGCAGCCACTGAGATGGAGGAGGGCCACTTGTGCGGCCCACTCACTAGCCTAGCTTGCCCCTCACTGTCTTAGAGGCTGTTCTGGAAAAAGGCTCCCAAATGGAAATTCAGCTTCTCTCCCTCCATGTGACACTGTATTTCTCCTGGTCCCCTTTCTCACTTCAAGCCTTCACTCAGCTTCCGTGAATGGGGATTTGCAGAGCTGAAGTCTGGGTTTCACAAGGCATCCGATTGCCACTACTGGCAACTGTTTTAACAGCACCAGAGTGTGGGCAAAACACCCCTGCGCAGCTTAGACAAAACCCCTGCCCAAAGGAGTTTACTGACTAATTTTTAAGTTAGCAGCAAATGCAGGAGACTGGCTGGAAATCAAGCTAGAACCTTGACTCCTATGTCTTTGTGGTCAACATGCACGGGAGGTCCCTAGCAAGGCCATTTCTAAACACGCAGCAGGGTATCACCTCTCTGTACAACACAGCGAAATATGACTTGTATCACACACCCCACGGAGCTGTCCATGCCCTGGAGGGGAGCTTGGGTGCCTTGCTCAGAGTGCTAAGACAACACAAGCCATGTTCCTGGATCTGGATCATGGGGGGCATCTGTCTTACTCTGCGCCCACGCTTCCTCAGCAGGCCGACTTCGAATGGGGAGCCAGGTTGAGAAATTGGCCCTATTTCTGACCAAGCCCATTCCATGGAAGCCATGTCTTGCCACAGTACAGAAGATGGATTTCCTCTCCATGCAGCTGAATGCGGAGCCTTGTGTGTTCAGAAGGAGGTTATCCTACCCCATTCTTCAGCTGCACAGAATAATCACAACGGCACCCTCTGACCGGAGGTGCAAAAGGGTGAGGGGCGATTTGGCTCGGTAGCCCTGTGCTCTGAAGGAAGAGCAGCGGCTCAGCCTACCTCGAAAGCTTTGTTGTTGTAGAATCTGTCCTCTAGTTTAGCTCCCCATTCTGCTGGGTCCGATCTGGATTCTGAAAATAAAAACCGACATTCTTGTTTGATCACATAAATGTCAAGAGAGTAATTAAGACAGGAAGCTCCCCAGTCAAATTACACTCACTGTGGGTGGCAGCAGGATGACAGGGAACATAAGAAGAACATAAGAACGGCCATTCTGGGTCAGACCAAAGGTCCATCTAGCCCAGTATCCTGAAGCAAAACTGACAGACTCAGAACAGAGGCAGCGTGGCTGTGAGAAAAAGAAAGGCTGTTTTCTGCACAGCCCCCAGGCGAGAGTCAAGGCCCTGCCAGCTAAGGAATGCCTTGCAGCGGTGGTTCTAGGAACAGTCCCAGAGGAGCAAACACACCCAGGAGCATCTAACATCTCGGGACAGAGCCACAATTAAAGCACACGGGAACAGCGTCCTCTCTCATTTTTCCCACCCCTGAGCGGAATCAATGTTGTTCTCTGACCAGCGAGATAACATGTCACTTGCTAATTGGGCACATAACAAAGTTCATATGGTGGGGGGGCCAAGGGGTTCTGAGTATGGAGTGGGACTCCGGCCTGGGGCTGGGGGGGTGCGGGCTCTGGGGTGCGGCTAAGGATGAGCAGCTTAAGGCTAGGACAGGGGGTTGCGAGGGAGAAAGGACTCCATCTGGTGGTACAGGCTATGGGGGTGAGTACTTTGGGGTGAAGGAGGGTGCTCCAGGGACTCTACTGCAAGGAGCGCTGACTCCCTCAGCTCTCTCGCCTCACAGCAGCATCGTGGACAGCACCTCTCCTCACCTGGGCAGCTCCAGGGCTGGGCCTCCCAGGCTGCAGCAAGGATGGGATGGACGGATTCCAGATCAGGGCCAGACTGCCCAGGCTGTGTCGGGATCAGGGCCGAGACTGGACTGCCCTGGCTGTGTCAGAGTCGGGCTGGGCCAGGTGGCCCTGGCTATGGCAAGTTGGAGTACAGACCAGGTGATGGTTGGAGTGATGGATCAGCCCTCCCCTGGCCACTGCAGGTTCCTGCCCTGCCCAACCTGCTGGAGCACCTGGCAGGTGAAATAGGTAGCTGCCCAGCAAGGGAGCTCAGCGCAGGAGACCCCCTGGGCTGGCCAGGCTGTGCTCAGAGGCCCGTGCCTGCCGGCACAGCATGCACCAGCTTGAACAATTCACTGGGGCCTGTGGTGACCATGCTGCCTCCCATGGGGAAATGGAGATGACCCAAGAAAATGGCCCCACTGCAGATCCTAGAGGGACTCACGTGTCCAGAAACCGCTTGCCCTGGAGCAGTAAGCCAGTTACCCTCAGGCCCAGTGGCTGACCCTCCCCCCAGGTTACTGGGGTTCTCCTACAGCCCTGAGGGGTGGCCCCCATCACCCACAGGAGCCATTCAAAGCATAGGGTGGAAGTCAAAGTGAGAGGAGTAGCCTGGAGCCTGCCAGAACCAACCAGCCCCAGGAACCTCCTCCTGCCTGCCCCTTCCCTCTGGGACAGAGCATCAGCTGGCAGGCCAGGGGGGACCCACAAGGAGCTTTCGTGGGCAAAGGCGATAAAGGAAAACAGGGACACCAGAGCCCCGGGGGACCCCAGGAAGCAGCCACGGGCATTTGTGCAGTAACCCTGGGCTCAGTGAGAGCCCTTCCAGGGGGACAAGCCACCCCAGACCTGAGCGCGGATCCAGGGCCCTGGGACAGAGCATCAGCTGGCAGGCCAGGGGGGACCCACAAGGAGCTTTCGTGGGCAAAGGCGATAAAGGAAAACAGGGACACCAGAGCCCCGGGGGACCCCAGGAAGCAGCCACGGGCATTTGTGCAGTAACCCTGGGCTCAGTGAGAGCCCTTCCAGGGGGACAAGCCACCCCAGACCTGAGCGCGGATCCAGGGCCCGCTGCACCGCCCGTGGCAGAGCTGGGCAGGTGGGGACGCTGGAGGCGGGCGCCTGGGTCACCCAGCGGGAGCAGAGCTCAGGGCTCCCGGCTCCGCCCGCCACCCCCCGGCCCCC